GTGAGAGGATTCCAGCCAAGAGGACCCCTCTGTCCCCTCATTTTGGCCACAGTGGCAATGACGTGACCTCAATGGGATGAGTATTATGCACATTGCTTGCTTCTCAGGTTAAAATTGTAACAGATTTAGATGACTTCCAGTGTGGATGGTGTTCCACAGCAGTATGAAATATATAACAGGTTATCTTAATGAAGGATCTATATAGTAATGTTAACTTCAAAACTTTCCAAGTGTAATGTTTTAAGTGGTTAAAATGTGGGACAACACTAGAGGTGGCTGTTAAACTGTAATGGAAATTCAGGTTTAGAATTTACAGTCTCATTTATCATACTGTGGCATATTGCACTGACTTACCCCAATGTAGTGTGGTGCAGACACCCAAGGTGGATTTGAATGCAGCATTCCATTAGGGCTAATTAGGCCAGATGGGAAGGGCTGTTGTAATTAGAGTTGGCAAGCTGGTCAATATATTTTTTGACTTGCAAAATTGCTATAATTTTGACCAAAAAGAACAAATTTTTTTTTGTAGTTTTCTTGACACAAATATGATTTGTTATTGTTCTTTGACATGGTTCTTAATGGAAAATTTGTGTTTCTTCTGTGTATTATTTGGACCCATTTGCACATTTATTTTTTATTTATTTATTTATTTTTTACAATTTTTCTTGTTACTTTCCAGTCAATTGATCAAACTTTATTTGACCAGTCAAATCCCCCACCCTAGTTATAATAATAAACTCCCAGAAGCTGGGTGTATTAATCTGGGTGGAGTGCTATGTTAACCTGGCTTGATTGCTTCTGGTACCTGATCAAACTTGTTCAGAGCTTGTTCAGCTACTGTTCATGACACTGTATCATGCCATGCAGACATACCCATTGCAGACATGATGAACCAACATTTTATGCAATATGTGGGCACAGTAATAAAGACATGAACCTGCTTTGGAAGACTGCACAGAAACGTTGCAGTGCATTCACAAGGGTTGCTGTGTAGTCTGTGAGCCTAGCTTTGATTCTTGTTATATTGGTATAATTCTTCTGCATTCCACTGCATACCTCTGCGTTTCTAACTTTTATTGAATATTCCTGAAAAAATGTGAGTAAAACAGAATGCACCTTTTGACTGCTTGAAAATTGTTTCAACTACTGTGCTGTATGAGGTAAGAGCTCTACTACTAATGGGAATTTAAGTGCCGATCTTGATCAAATATAAACCATCATAGGTTCTTTGAACTCAATGGAGCTATACAAATTTACCCTAGCTGACGTTTTTTAAGACTACTTTTTAATGGTGTTCTAGTGGGCAGTTTCTTTTTTATGCTTAGATAACCCCTTTAGTTTATTTGAGAACAGACAAGTTTCAGAATTTATTATGGTACTTTCTTTTGTCTATTTAATAATAGAGATCATTTAATAAAGTAGCTCTTCTGCAGTAACTCTTGTGGTAACAGCACTCACTGCTGCTATTGCCATAAGTTGGTGAGCACAGAGATGTAACCCTACATGGCCATGCTTAATCTATACACCTATGTAGGCTACTGGTGGAGCCAACATGGAAAACATGGAGTTGCTTCTTTCCTCACTTTGGCCTTTACAACAGTTTTACCAAATACTGCCATGACACCAGCAACTCAGCAGAATAAAGCCAAAGAATTGATTTCCCCCTTAGGTACAACATGAAGTTCTTTTCAACGTAACAGTCTTCTTCCAACTATTGTTGGTAGTTTGTAGTCTTCAGTTCTCTTTGTATCAGAAATAGAGACAGTTCTATTAAGTCCTTAATTAAAGGGCATTTTAGAACATTGTTCTATCCTTTTTCTTCTGAGTACATGCTATGTTTGAACTGCAAACAGTAGTGCCCCAGTGGGCTACAAAAAATCCATTACAGATACCTGTCTCAGATTTTACATATGCCTGGAGGCGTAATACAGCTGTTAGACCAGGCACTTAATCATAAAAGCAAAGCACCAAAAGGTTAGAGGGCTATGTCTGGTTTGGCTATTAAATATTTGTTTGTCTGTAAAAAAGCATAAGGGCACGATGGGTGCTGTTGACATGGTTTACAAAACAAGCAAGCCACACATCTTACACATTAAATACTTCATTCACACAGTTTACAAACTGCAAGTGGTTGGGAAATATACAAATCCAAAAAATACATATCTTAGTCATTCAGATTTAAAACACTCACGATCAGTAAAACTTCATATCTTCACTTCTTTCTCTGTAATGCAGCTCAGTGCCTCTTGATTCATTGCCTTTTCTTTGCCCATACTAGTTCAGTGAAAATGAGCATTGAACAGTGCATCTGAGTAGAATCCACCAGTGATGATTTAACAGTATCAGACCAGAAAATACCAGGGAAGCTTCTACTGCTTGTGAAGGTTTAGAGGGCTCTGTTTTAATTATCATTGGTTGGGAAGTCAGAACATAACATATTTGGGTGATATGCCACATTTGTAAAATTTAGCAAAAAGCATTTAAAAAAATGTTCAGTCTTGTGTGCCTTTTTGTCGTAAAATAGGGAGGGAGGTGTGGTATGTGAATATTGTGCCCTCATCATGGTCCTGAACATGACAGTCATTCTTCTCTGTTTCTTTGAAGTTGGTCTTATGTCCTAAGCAATGGGCAATTGCAAAAACTGCCAGCCAGATTTTTGTGGTTTGATGCCACAGATTTCCTACCCTATTTGTCCGGCTGAAAGGGTTAAAATTCACTCCGAGCTTCCATAGTTGTTAAAGAGATGAAAACTAAAATACTTGGAATAACAGCAGTCACAGAAATCAAGGGGATACAGGGCACTCAGAATGCATTTCAGGTAATACGCATTAAATCTAGTACCTCCATTGTGAGGTACTAGAAAAAGGTGCATTGGCCTATTTTAATGTGCATTAGCTAAAGAGCACTTTTTTGTGGTGCTTTAATGCACATTAAAATAGGCTAATGTGCATTAAAGCACACATGCAGACACACCCACAGTGCAGAAGAATTTGTATGTGAACCTTTGGGTTTCATTTTCCATAATACAGGGGGGATATGTGGACCTGGGGTTTGACCCAATGCCTACTAAGTCAACAAGAACCACAGTGTATCTCCATAACTTGCCCAGGGTCCTGATATGTATAATGCCCGACGAATAGGACAACTAATAGGTTGTTTCTGTATGAAACAACAAAAGAACAATCTCCACTGCACATCTATAATGTTTCTGTTCAAGAGAGACAGGTTCTAAGTAGCAAAAGGCAATGACTGATAATGCACAACATTAAATTCAGGTTCCATAAAGAAATATGCAGCAGACCCACTTCTAAAAATGAAATAGGAGCTTCCACTGAACCCCTAAGTACCATTAGAAATGAAGGAGGACGTTTGCTTAAGCCTTCAGGTGGAAAGGGCATATTGTTGTTAAACTATAATGCATCCATGAAGCTTTTAAATGATTGGAGTTCTTAGAGTGCTGATATGCCACCTCCTCCACAAACAGGTGTCCCCATTATCTGAGAGGTTTCACATAGTTGAGGGCAATTCGCCTGACATTAGTTTTAATAAAATATGTATAGGTATATTGTTGTGGCTACTTTGAAAAACTTAACCAATATATGTAGATACATACAGCTATACACTGTATACAACCCTCCACAAGCTTCAAACTTATTTATTTCAGCAGTGGTTATGCCCCTTCAGGATTATTTTCCCAAGCAGTGGAATGATTGAGTTTCATTTTCAGGAAGGTTCAATGAAAGCAGAATTCAATCTCCTATGTATGAATATTAAATGGAGAGTAAATTTTTAATTCACTTGAGTGAATTAATGTACCAAAAGTGCTTACTATAAAAGAGCTACATTTATTCAGTCAATACCAGACTCAAAGCCATATTACCAAGGTCATTAATAACCATAGCACGAATATTGAATGGTTGCCATGAACTTTTCATAGAATGAGCAAATTTTATGAAAAGAATAACAGATTCATCCCCCTTAATATGAATGAATACATTTGCATAAGTCATATTTGTAGGTAATGGAGGAAATCAAATATTGAGAAATTTAAATCAGTATATTTTTCTTATTTCAGTAGTAGAGTTGGCCAGGCAGATTACTTCTATGAAGATATAGAGGACACTGAGCTGGTCATATCTAGTATGAAAGAATCCATCAGACCTGAGAATTAGGCACTTCTACCCATGTGCTTTAATGTGCATTAGCCTATTTTAATGTGCATTAAGGTGCCACTCAAAAGAAAGTGCTATTTAGTTGATATGCATTAAAATAGGCTAATGCACATTTTCTTAGTACCTCACAATGGAGGGATGTGTGGGGAGCCTGCTCTGACGTGCTGGATTTGCATCAGAGCAGACTCGATTAATCGAGTCTGTTGAACCACAGAAATGGATGCACTCCAGCAGCCTTCCATGTCACGTGTATTAGCATCCCCCTGCTGAAAAAAATGGCGGTGGGATGCTTTGAAATAAAACATGGTTGATGAGCTTTAGTTCAAAGTGCCCTGCTGCTATTTTTCAGCAAAGGGACACTGATACATGTGACACGTGGGTACTTTTAATTAGCGTGGCTCGCTAATTAAAGCACCTGGTGCCGCATCCCAAAGTAAGTGTAAAAATGCCCAGAGGTACTAGATTTAATGCACATTAACTAAAGCATGTTAATACATGTGTAGGTGCACCAGAAATGAGGATAGGCATTTAGAAATTGCAACCTGGCCAAAATGCTGCTGTCTGAATGATTAGGAGAATTCTAACCAAAGGTAGGAAAAGGCCTTATGTATTCTGCAAAATAGTTAAGAATAGAATGAAAAAATTCCTAACCAACCTCTTCCAAATGGGAATGACAGAAACAAATTTCATTTGGAGATCTGCTGGCTGATGACAAAAACAATTCTTGACACAGAGACAGATATCACAGATACAACTATTACTCTTAAGAAAATCTTGAACAGCATCACAGATGCTATTTTCTTAAGGTTTAATGTTGGCCACAAGGTATGTTGTGGGGAAGAAGCCCCCAAATTCTAGTGCTGTCAAAATGGTACTCTGGCTTGTCTCTCCTAGAAATGGACCACCGCCCATTAGTTCAGCCTGTCAGAGAGGACAAAGGCAAGAGAAAAAGTCCTTTTCTCAAGTGTCTGTTCCTGTCAAACACTTTGGGTTGCACAGGTAGTTTGCTCTGTGTGGGGAATTCATAGCTTGTTCTCTTGCCATCCATGAGCATTCTTTCCAAACTTGTAGACTAGCCTTCTGTCCACTCGTTCCAAAATTCCAGTTTTATAATAGTACCTGCAGTAACGAAATTTAAGTGGATTTTCCATTAAAAGCAATTCTTCACATGCAAGGTATGATAGGAGAATAACAGAGCGGTTAATTTCATGTTTTCCAAAGAGCTCTTGTCTTTTTCTTAAGTGGATAGTCTCACACCCACAGCTCCATTTACATTGCAGAGGTTAAAACTTTCCCAGAGTTCTTGAAGGGTGTACTTCGCTCCTTTGAGAACTCAGTCTGTGTGCTTTTCTTTTTATGATGACCACAATTCAAAATGAACTGCTAGGATTATTGCCAAGGCAGAGAGGCAGATAGTGTCATTTTACAAGCCTAGGCCAGCTTCTCAGCTGATGTAGATTGGCATGGCTCTGCTGCCTTTGAGAGGGGCATGCCAATTTACAGCAGCTGAGAATCTGGCCCCATAATCCTGTCTGTAACCGAAAGAGCAGTAACTCTGGCTCAGACTTTGAATAAACATTTTTAAAGCTATGCAATAAGTATAATTGTGTCAAATAGTCTATTTTATATAACCCCATATTAACACCATGTTAAATGTGGTGACCTTTCCATCTTTCAACTCACCGGAGAGCTCTGCTCAGTTTTTCATATGTCATTCTGTCATTTTTCTTCCTTTGCCCCCACATCTTTGCCAGTGCTTCTGACTTAACAACCCGAAAAATGCCTTGTTCTCTATCCTCCCATTCAAGAATACCAGAGTTTTCTTCAGGAGACAGGAGCAGGTCTCTTACAAATTCCCACAGGTGAGAACTCTGTAGGCCTGCAGTAGGAAGAAAATGTTTTAGCAGACCTTCCCAAAGGCTGAATTCATGACACAGTACTTCAATGAAACAATCTTTATAGCAGCTTTTTCAGTCTGGGCTCAAGATCATTAACCACTTGGTTTTGGCATCCACTGAATTGTTCAAGATTGAGTGCAATGTCTATCTGCATGGCAAGTGGGATCAAGTCACATTTTGCAGACAGAACAAATCCAGAATGACCTTCAAAAAATGCAGCATCTTCCTTTGGCCCCACTAAAATTTGGAATTTAACTCCTTTGTAAAGTTGGGATGAAGCTCTCTCCTTCAGAGGTTTAGCTGCCAGTTATATCACTAATATTTACAGAATGGTAATGTAATAAAGGACAATTGCATTTTTAATATTGATAATAACAACAATAATAATAATAACAATAATACCAATTTGAAGGTTCCCTATAAAATGTTTTAAGTATTTTTACTGCTGATCAAAGGAGTTAGAGACACCAGCATCTTCATTATACATAGAATACAGGCAGCATCTGTGCAGATCTCCTTACATTGCTAGATTCCTCTGTTCTGCTTCTGCTAAACCAGAGGTTTTCTTGAGCTGAAAACACTCTCTATGAGAGATAAGAACCTCCAAAGAAAGAAGAAGATGAACATGGTGTGCATGGGTGCCAGACTGTACTTCTTGAAATTCTGAAGAAGCAAGACCCTAGGAACCAAGTAGATGGGGAAGCTACAAAGCCAGTATTGGTAATCTCAAGCATTCAAAAATCATGAGCCTTGTTCTTCAAAATCTTGAGATCAACTTAAAAATCATGAGAACGGCATTCTAACAACAGCAGCAATACATGGAATTCTTTCATTTGCCTCTGGATTTTGAGCCTCCAGGTTACATTTAATTAAACATTTTTAGCTTTTCCCCACAGTTATGAGGGCTAGAAACTTCCTTTATAAAAAACAAATGATTACATTAACCCAATTCCAGGAGATAAGACTTTTAAAAAAAGCACCAAACAGCACATGCTTCATGATACAAACCTGACAGCAAAATCTACCACTGGTTTAGGTTTGACTTATCTGAGGCATCAAGAAGTGACTCTACCATTTATATAATCTCTCAAGCACAATTTTTGCATTTCAAATATATACTTACTTGTTCTGCCATGACTGTGACATTCTTGACTCTTGATGCCACCCGCACTCAGGCATGCCTTAGCATTGTCTGGAACAAAATTACAAAATGATATGTCAAGTGAAGGAGGAGGAATTTCTGAGCCTGGTAATATTTGGTCAGAAGGTCAGAGTGTTCAGCTAAGTAAATGCTATGGGATAGTGGGGCAGTGAGATCTGTTAACTTTATCTTTTAGTTAATATAAACAGTTCTATCATAATGATAAACCAAAGTGAACATTAATTCAGTCAGCTGGTTTGTATGATAGACAAGCACCACAACAGAGGGCTCTAAATCATCCTACATGTCATATATCATATGTCTAGCAATTTTGTTTTATAGAACTTAGGTTGTGTTGTGTTTCTCAAGTGGATCTACAGCTATGATGGGGCTTCCTGCCTTAGTATTCAACATGCTATGCGGTGCTTCGGTGCTGGCAAAGTGCTGCAGTGACGGACGAGCGTGAGATTTGGCAACAACCTTGCAGAGACACAAGCTATATCGTCTTACCTGATAAAGGGGTATTGCATGGTATTACGGTAACATAATGTAGAAGACAATACTGAATAACAACCTCTGGGGAGGGGGTCTCCTAGGATACTTAACATCATTAGTTCTGCAAAACTAACTTCTACAAGTCACCAATCTATTCTGTCTTGTACACAGACAACAAGGACTTCAAAGGGAAGAGTCTAACTTTCTTCGTAGCATAGCACTTTACAGTGAAGACTCATGAAGATATTTTACTGGGTGGAGTAGCAGAGGGCTACTAAATAATCATGATGGAAAATAGATTGTGCTGCCTGTGTCGTTACTTTATACCATTATGTAAGCCAGTGTTCAATATGTTACAAACCCTTTCTTAGCTGCTGATCCTTAGTGGTTTATGAGTTTGCCACTGCTTACAGAGGGAGAGGTGGGATTTAGGTTCAGGTTCTTAAAAGGTATTAATCAAGGGAAGGTAGATGCCCAAATCATTTGAGGATCTGGCCTTACTCTTTTTTTCTGAAAGTGTAGAGATTCATAACTTTAATGCTCAATGTCTAGATGTAAAACTCTGCTGTTGGCCCAACAATAGCAGGTAGAACTACACGTTGGACACTATGCCCTACCAGGAAATGGTTAGACAGCACTTCCCCACCCACTTTCTGGGGTGGGATTCTGGCATCTAAGATCTGGTCAATTTTTGCAGTGTCTTTTGTGCTGGCTTGAAGGATGTAATCCCATGTTGAGGGTTTTCCTATACTGTCTAAATTGTGGAAAAATGATGGTAGTTCAGTTATATATAAGGATTTTAGCTGAATGTGATTCTAGAACCACAGGCTGACTCCTACACCTGGTCACAGCAGAACTGGCTGATTTGATTAAATCAAGAGATTTGAGGTGATGGTCCAGTTTCACCAAAGTACAGACAGAATCTAGGCCTTATTTCTTATCAATATGTCTGCCTGGCTCCTTGATATAGCCCAATGTAGTGCGTCGCTAGAGGTCTGGTTTTCCAGAATCCAAAGCCCTGCAACAGTCAGACTTGTTCCAGGCTTTGAAGCCCCTGGGACTCCCAAAGTCTGCAACTCTGGGAGTCCAACCATGTAGACTGCCGTGGAGTTTGGGACCCTTGGCTCTCAGGGCTCTGGCTCTGGTATCTTGAAAAAAGTGGAGGTTGCCAGGTCACTGCACTAGGCTTCCACTCCTGTACAAAGGGAACTGCAAAATACTTGGTTTTCATTTCAAAACCAGATTTCAAGCTGCCAACCTTCTCTGCAAAATAGAATCACCTTTCCCTGAACAGCTTAGTGATAGTGATCCACAGTGATAGAGCCTCTGATGCATAGGACCTCAGTAATTTCTGTGTTGGGGGTGAGGGGGAGGAGGAAGGTAGGAACCTATGCTGCGAACTTCACCAAACTTTCCCTGCCCCTTACAGGAATTTCTAACTTGAAGTGTTAAAATGGAAACAAATGAGATATTTTGTCATTTGTGAAAACTCCTCGATGTGGCTTCATGCAGATGTAGTGCTAATAATCATGGAATACACTGCACCCTTCCTGGTGAACAGAGCAGTGTGTACACAAAACAAATTTACTCACAATCTCCAATAGACGGCTTTGTTTCTTCATTGTCATTAAAAAAAGAAATGCCTGGGGGGAGGGGGAAACACGCAATTAGGAGTTTAATTATATACTTCCACACTGAGCAGAATGTCTTTACACTGATCCTTAAGGCACAGACCGAGTTATTTTTCATCACTTCCATTTTGTGGACATGAGAGATTATGGTTAAACGCCATATGTAAGTATGACACAAGCCTTCAGTCTGTCTGAAGGCTTCTGCTAAGATTTTCTTTCCTTTAAACAGATTTAAACATGTCCCTCCTTTCTTCAGATCTCTCTACCATCTTCCTTTCATGTCTTGCATCAATTTTGAGCTTCTTAAGGACATTCTTGTGATCCTAGTCAACTATGACCTGCTCCCACTTGTTCCTCCACTTTCCTCCTAGCTGAACGCCTTATGCTTTTGTCATATTCTGCCTACCTCACCCTTGTGAACCATTCTCCTGCTCTCATACTTATTTTACTTTTCTTTACTCTTCCACACACATGAATTAGTCTTCCTTGATTCTTATCCCTCCTTTAAAGAGCACTGTGCAGAGATTTCCCCACTAAAATGAGAGTTCATCTCCTGTGCCAAAAATCAGATTCTTAAGAGGGTGTTGAGCATGCAGAACTCAATGGAAGTTGAAGATGCTTAATGCTTCATAGGATTGGATCCTTTGTTTGTAAAATCTGTAAGAGTGACCTTGCTGCGCATCAGTAAATGCGTTCATCGTACCTAGTAATTGCATTATATTAAAAATAATATAATAAATATATAAACGTGTGTGTGTGTAAACAACTTTATTAAGGTTACAATGGAAAAGTGAGGAGATGCCAAAAATAAGGCTACCTGCACTACTTTTATATGGCTCCTTTGTCCATTTGCATTATTATAAAGTCTTTGATTATATTACTACATACTATTTCTTCCATAAGACTTCTGCCTCATTCATTACCCAGGATGGATGGTGCACAATGAACATCCATGCTTTATTTACTGCATAGTGTCCCACCTCTGAACACTGAGGAATTGTTAATGCCCTCATGGTCTTTTCTTTGGCACTGAGTGGGATTTATATTCCAAGATAACTTTTGAAACGCATGGGAATATACCTGCCTCCTGCAACTGATAACAGCCAAGTAATAGTCGGGGATAGTACTATCTTATGGTGGAGTTATTAGATGTGGTGAAGCACATGTGTAAACGCTGACCCAGGTGTAAATTGTGCTCGGTCAGCCCAGGCAGCAGGGGGCCAGACACCTGCCTGCTGCCTAGCCACATGGCTCTGCATGTTTGGCACTCTTGTGCCCCAGCTGCCCCTCTGTCACCTGATTCTGCCACCCAGAGCCCCAGGCTGACCCCTTGAGCCCACTGCCAGCCCGGGCCTGCTCTGCTCCAGCAAAAAGTGCTGCTGTCCCCAGCACATGTGTAGATGCTGTGCCTGGGAGCAGTGTACCCTTGTTCAAATATCGCTGGATTTTACCCGTTCACATTAAATTGCACATGCAATGCCCATTGGGTGCATATAAATCTCCTCTTGCCCACAGTTAAAATTTTAGAATAACACTACCATCTTTCCTTCCACAAATTTACTTCCTTCTAAATGTCTTACATAGCATTGCATAGCAGCTCTTTGGAAAAGGCAGGCAAAGACTAATTCTTAGGGGAAACATTCAGCTGTGTAAACCATTTTATTTCCTGAAGTTTCCTTTCTTATCCACCAGATTCAGCAACCAACAATACAGCAGTTTTCCTGTGGACACTAACTATATTCACTGCAACACCCTGATTTACTCTACATGTATCATCCGCTAAATCCCACCCTCCCTGCAGCCACTAACCTCCTGTCCCATCTTTTCCTGTCCCCTGCTATTTCCATCTGAGCATCTTGTTCAGTTTCCCTTGTGTTTTATGCCCCCCAAGTTGTTCCCATCTATTTTTGCCCCCATATCCTTCCTTGTCTGCCCAGTCCTTCCATTTACATTAAAGCTGTTTCTCTTTCTAGGACACAGACAGAGGGAGTACTGAGAGCACAGAAGAGATGGTCTGCTCTCTCTCAGGTCCTGTGCCTGATATCATGCTAGTTACCAGCAGTCAGCAGGCTCAAGGAATGGCTTGCACTTTTATCTGCCTATAGATCTCCCAAGGCTACTCTAGCTATCCAAGATAGCCAGACTGCAGGGACACTTACACAATATCTTCTTTTTACATGGGCACATACTTTTGTACCAATGACCAGCAGGTTTATTTAAACTCTAAACCATTTTGAAATTTGCCTAGATGAGAGGAGCCCTGAGGCTGCTGTGCCTGACATGGGTCTGCTCAGACCAGGGGCAGCGCAAGGGACCAGACTGAGGGGCTTGGAGGGCTGGATCTGGTCTGTGGACTGTATATGTTTGGCACCCCTAATCTAAACTGCATTTTACCAGGCCATCCCAGCTAATCTTATTCCCTTAATCTCTCATGAGTGACCAAATAGGAAATAAACTGCCCTTTCCATCATTTAGAGAAGACAGGTAATCATTTAAGAGAGATATGAAACTAAAATCATTTACATAAATCTCCCAAAATGTTGCAAAATAAATTTTAAAAAAGATTGTAGTCAGGAATGATAACAGGTATATTAAAGCTCCATATTGTACTGATAATGCAGTTCAACAACAATCTCTTGCTGGCTAAGTAATAAACAGTGCAACCTTTGGTATTCTGTGCTGAGCATGGTAACGGTGTACTGAGCTACCCTAGGAATGGAATTGTATTTGAAATTGAATGGGAATCCAATGCTTATTTGAGATAAACCACAACTAGATTTTGCAACCTGGGCAATTTTAGTGGTGAAGCCAAGATTTGAATAGATTTCAGAATTTACACAGAGCTGTCTCACTTCTAGGGCTGAATCTCTCAAGCTAGGGGCAAGGGAAATTGATGGGGTGCAGTTGGGAAACTTGTAGCTATGCAACCTGTTATCTGTTTGCATTTCTAATGTGGCCATCACCATTATCTATAGGGGTCCAAGATATCAGCCATATTCTAGCTTTTCTTCGGTCCTCAGAGCAATCAATCGAGAGCCCTCTACTGGCATGGAGTCACCAAAATAAAATAAAATGAAATAAAATAAATTGTAAGACTTGTTGTGTGTTTGATTTCTGAAACACTAACCATGCATCCTGATGTTCTGTAGGATGACATATAGGTATTCGCCGCAGATGCCTGCAGCATGTACAAACTCCTCTTGACTCATGCTGCACAGCTGCAAGCCGTTAATATTAAAGTGGGAAAAGGAGATACAGTTGGCATCTAGTTTATATTGGTCACAGCAAAACTGCAGCCAGTCACAGACATTTTGTTTGCTCCAGTATTCCGGATGAATGGATGTCCAAAATAAGTCAGACCCTGCAACATATTTAGTAGGGAAGAGAACTGAAGTGGAAATACTTATAAAACTCATCATACAATTCATTGCAATAAGTATATTCTAAGCATGAAGAGTCTATACCAGTGGATCTCAACCTTTTTTGTACCAGGACCCATTTGTAAACATCAGTGGTCAGTTCCAACCCAGCACCCCTCACTCCTGACCCAGTGCCCTCCGCACCTAGGCCCCAGCCCCTCAGTGTGTGGGGCAGGGGGTGGGTGGCTGCAGCGGGGGGCGGTGGGTGTGGGGCATGGGGTGTCCCCAGGCAGCTTCTTGCAGGCTGGAACTCTGCCAGCCTTCAAGGGGAAAGCCACATTTTTCTCCCTTAAAGGAGAATCCATTTTTAAAGTTTGTTCATGACCCTTTCATATATTTTCTTGCGATCCACTTTTGGGTTGACCCATGGGTTGAGAAATGCTGGCCTACACCTTATTCTATTAAGACCATAAGCATCCTCCATTATTCCTTTGAACAGATACCAAATACCATCTATGTTGTGGTATCTAGTACAGTGGTTTTCAACCTGTGGTCTGTGGACCTCTGGGGGTCTGGAGACTATGTCTAAGGGGTCCACAAAAGATGACTATAATCAATCAAAAGTTTGTGAATGCCCACACTTACAACTCAAAGAGGTTCAAACTTCTATTCAAAATTTCCAAAGGGGTTCGCACCTCCATTCAAAATGTTTTAGGGGTCTACAAATGAAAAAAGGTTGAAAACCCCCGATCTAGTATAATCTAACTCTTACATCTCATGTACTACTATTCATTATTATTGTAGGTCATTTACCCACAGAATCTCAGAGTACACATCTCGTAACCCGAGAGGCCCTTAACGTGAGAAACAATGTCTGGCAAAGACCCAAAACCAGAAGCACAATATATTATTTATGCAGGAAATTTAAAATAGCATGGAATCAAATCCTTTAGTATAAGTAACAATGCACGCTATATCCATTTTATGATATTTTTCCTCTTACATACAATTTCCAACCATTAAAGTAAGGGTGCATCACATCTATGTGGAATATAGATCATTTTGTGAACAAATAGACAATTTCTCTCAAAATGTGACACATTGGAGATAGTCAAAGTACTACACAGGCAATACCTAATGAAATCAGCAATACCCCAGGCTTTATAGATAGATAAATATTGTAAACTTCACAGAAATGCTTACTCAAAAGTGCTCTGGAAGTTATAATTACTCACTTCGAGAGACCATAATAAGTGTTAACGCTGTGTGAATTGTTTATTTTTAGATAATATGTTAGAAACTGTTGGTAACATTTTGCAGGAGTGGGTAAAACATTTTTCTCTCTGTTGGGTACAAGGAGCAAAACTGGTGGGACATTTCAGTTGAAAAGATGTCAATAAAAAGCATTCAATTTTTTTTTCCAGTGAAGATGGAAGGTTTGCTGAGCAGCAGTATAGCTGTTGGCAAATATTGCAGCATTATTTTAAAGCATAAAATATGACATTTGCTTTTCTGTGAACATTTTTATGGAAAAAAATATCTAAAATATATATTTGGAGAATGCAAAAAATAAGAGCAAAATAATGAATCCACATGCTATTGGAAGTATTCGCAGACTAGCTATAAATCAGCATACACATGCACACATAGTCAACATGGAATCCAAACTTTTTTAGGAGGCAGAAACATACGTCATTACCACCCAAGCTAACAGAAAATATGTATAGCTGACTCCAAGGAAGAGGCTCTCTGACACACTTGCTAGAGGGAAACAAGAGAGTGGTATTCTCTTGCAAATAGCTCCCATTGGATGTCTACAAATATGCAGACTGTGTATATCCTGCACTAGAGTAGCTTGAAGCATTATAGCCAGAGCCAATACAGAGCCCTTTAATTTTACCTTCATTCTCCCAAATGGAGTTTGTAGGAAAAAGAAATGATATTTCTTTTAACTCATTACATCCATTCTTTTCATTCAAGTCCATAGGGATGACTAATACATTTAGTCTCAAGGGAGTTTCTGGGACAGTGACAAAGATCTCAGCTTTAGAGATTATGGCAGTTTCCAGTTTAAAGGGGTTATATCAATTTATAGCAGCTGAGGATCTGGCCCCACATCAATCAAGAGGTTCTTACAGCAGCTCTGATCAAACATATGAAAATAAATAGCACTGGAATGGGACTCAGATACCACAAGGATGAGACCAGTACACATGTGGAAAGTAGATTAGATGGGAGACCCATCCCCCCACCCACTTTTGACTCTTTCATCTGTCTCCACATTGCATCAAGCATGCAGCACAAAATAAATCATATCACTGCTTTCAAACAAGGTGAACTAAAATGTTCTTTGACGTTCATTTAGTCAAGCAGTTTATTTAAGAGAGTAAATGATGCAGCTGGGCTGAATCAATTGAATCAAAAATGAGTCTAAATAGTTTAAATTATGACAAATGGCAGAAGCATCAAGAGAACTTTGATTTTGTTCATGTATCATCCATGTACTATAAATGCTTTCATTTGTATGTGCAGAATTAATATAAAGTAATATTGAATTAAGTGTCTCAGATCTTGTAAGGCTATGCCCTCCTATCTAGTGCAGGTAGCTTGGAAGGAGAAAAATAAGGCAAAAGATGCAAAATTTCAATCAGTATTTGAGTTTCGAATACCCAAGAAAGAAGGATGGTTAAATCTGAGATTTTGTATAGGCACTTCTAAAGCCAAACACCAGAAGTGAAATACAGACTGACACTTGGCCAGAGACTGAGGCCTAGAACCGTGTGACAATGATTGATTCATGATTTCAAAGGAGGAGTAGAACATCACTATACCAACCCCCTTGGGGTTCATTCAAGGAGGGCGGAGGGGGAAGCTTCAAAGCCAGGTTCCTACTTCACAGAAGCCCCGACTCCAGGGGCAGCTCAGAAGTGAACTGAATCAGTCACCTCCTAGACGTAAGTTATCCTATGCTATTGACTGGCTCGAGTTCCCCCCTCTTCCAACCCTGGGAGAATTGGAACTGGGGCAGCCTGCATGACTCCTAGCTAAAGTGGATGTACTTCTCACCCCATATTTTCTGGGTTCCTTCTTGTACAATTGGAGTGATTGAGCTTGGATATTTTTTTGTTCTATTCATGTAGAAGATGGGGGAGAGAGGATAAATTCACAGCTTTTTATTGCTGAAAAATGAAATGAAGTTTGCATTTTTAGTGCAGCTATTTTTGCTACTTCAAGATCGCACAAGAAGAAATTAGCTACTTTTCTACAGTTATATGTGTACAGTAAGTAACCTTGAAATACTATAGCATGGTAAAGCAGTGGTACTTGGTACTGACTTTTGAGCTGACTGATAAATATCAGCTTTGCTGGCAATATAGAAATGCAACAGCCTGTTCCTTTCATGGAACAGTTCTTGTCAGGTCTAGTTTCCCTGTTTGCTCTGACTTCTGAAAGGATCAGATTATTTTTGGAAGTCAGAAAAATATTCCAGAAGTGCTGATGCATGTAGCAGACAGTCAAAAGGTGCTGACAGTAAGGTTTGGCTCTTTTGAATGCTCTCTCTCTATTTCTTACAGGAAAGGTTAATTCCCTGAAGAGCTGTCTCTTGTTGGAGAATGTACTGCACCAAGATGTCAGGTCATTTGGAATATTCTTCTGGAAAAAAGATCAGCTGGAAGACGGAGCTTCTGCAAGAGATTTATAAGTTTCCTTTGAGTGGGAAAGAAAGGATCAGATAGAGTTTCACTAAACCGTAAAGAGAACAGAAGCAAAAATGTTATCTAAATGAGATAAGATGAATAGCAAATAAGTTATACTACATCCAGGCACACTTCAAAAAGATGCTGAGAAGCTACTTCTCAGAGGGGAGAGAGGCAGGGAGCTAAAGAGTGGGATGTGAAGGAGCCGTAGAGTTTATACCATCGTCTGACCCTTCCTAAAATGTTGGGGCAATCCTCTCTTCAAGGATGAATTCATATTTCCATTACTCTCCACTGGCATCCCTTGCTAGACCTGATGTGTTGATCAAATTTCAACCCAGAGGGAATGCCATTTTGCTGACAGTTTTTCCAGATTGCAAGGATTTCCTCAACTTAGTAGTGATTCATGTCCCATATCTAAAGCTTGCATACATTGTGACAAAAATAAGACTTCTAATTCACAGTTGAAAAAGTTCTGTTGGTGCTAACAACAATCAAAGCTTTAGTGTATACATGGCTCAAGCAAGCACAGAGTGTTTTACCACTGTATTTTGAACTCAGGGCCATATAGGATACCTCCCTGGATTTTCCCACAATGTACGGATATAGGAGTCTACAGCATGGCATGGGTGGATTAGAGAACATGATTTACATGTAGGAAAAAATGCCACTGTGTTGACATGAACTATGTCAGCTGTAACCAAATAAGATTATTGTATCAGAGCCTGGCTGCATGCTTCCCAAAGCAGAGCAAAATAAGTCTATAATCTCTCTCTACTGGACAGTTCCATGTTTTCAGAGGAAGTGTGCTAAAAGTTACAACACATACTTCTTTTTAAATATAGACCTGTTGCCAGTGTAGTTCTGATCCTGAGTTAGTCAGGAGCTGAGGTGAGAGCTAGACTTTCACTGAATGAGTTCTGCATGCCTTATTATGAACTTCTACACATTTTGTCATTAAAAGTCACATGGTCCTTTTGTTTAAGTAGTGTCAATACCTTCACTCCATTCTCATGGACAGCTTCCAATGTGTGCCATGTCATACTCTGCTAGCTTAAATTCTCCTTTTGCTCTAGATCAATAAAGTGTTGTCTTTCTTTTCCATTCTAAGTCTGCTTGGGTCGGACAATTGGATCTGGGACAGAAGTTCCATAGACCACTTTAACCTAAATCAGTTAAAATCTGATCCATCCAGGTCTATCTTAAATCGGCTTCAGCTGTTTTGAAAGCATTTTGTGTGCCCTGAACTTCTGTTCTGTTACAGGTTTGAACTAGTTTCTGATCAGTTATGCTGGTTGATGTGTAACTTTTGTTCCTAGCCCAGGTACCTCATATGCATGCCCTGCACATGTGTAAAGTTTATTTTGAGGCCGCTCGGGGAGGAAGGAAGTGAAAACAATCTTGGGGGTTCTACAAGAACATGAAAGAAATTAATGCAACTCCACAGGACTCTAGGAATATCTACAAACATCCAAAATTGAGCAACTGACATTTAAACTGAACAGTGAGGGACCTATCCTCTGACATGCCTAGAACAATGAGGGTGGATGCTAGAGAGTTTGAACAGGGCATAGATCACTTTAGATATAACTGGTTCCTATGCTCTCCCTATAAAGCATCTACTCCTTCCATTATTGGAAAAAGGATATGTTAGTCTGACCCAATATGGCACTTTTTATGTTCTCCTATGTAATTGTAGAAAAAACATGGATGAAGCTATATGATAAAACAAAGGCGAGCTACTTGCCCAGCTCAACTCTGCTTAGCATATGAGCTCTGGCAGGATCATTGCACCAAGTCATATTCCTAGATTCATAGATTGTAAGGGGCTGGAAGGGACCTTGGAAGATCATTGGATCCAGCCCCCTGCACCAGGCAGGACAGATTGCTGGGGTCAGGTGACCCCAGCAAGGTGACTGTCCAGTCTCTTCTTGAAGATTTCCAGGGTAGGCGATTGCACCACTTTCGGAGACAGCTTATTCCACAGTCTGGACACCCTGACTGTGAAGAAGTTTTTCCCAATGTTGAGCCTGAAACGGTCTTCCAGGAGTTTGTGGCCATTACTCCTTGTTTTCCCCAAGGGTGCCCTGGTGAACAGTTGTTCTCTGAGCCCTTGATGTACTCCCCTGATATAGCGGTAAGCTGTTACCAAGTCAGTCTTCTTTTCCTCAGGGTGAAGAGTCCCAAGTCCCTCAGCCTTTCCTTGTATGGCTTGCCATGCAAGCCTCTAATCATATGGGTGGTCCTTCTCTGGACTCTCTCAAGTTTTACCACATCCTTGTTAAAGTGCAGTGCCCAGACCTGGATGCAGTACTCCAGCTGTGGTCTCACCAGAGCTGAGTAGAATGGAAGAATCACTTCCTTGGTTTTCCTGGAGATGCATCAATTGATGCACGCCAGAGTATTATTTGTCCTGCTGGCAACGGCGTCACACTGATGGCTTATATTCATGTTGTAGTCTGTTGTTACCCCCAGGTCCCTTTTATTCATGGTGCTGGTCACTTTGGCGCCACCAAGCCTGTAGGTATGTAGGGGGTTGTTTGTCCCCAGGTGGAGCACATTTCTCAATGCTGAACTTCATCTGGTTTCAACTCGCCCAACTTGCTAGCCTGTTTAGATCTGCCTGTATCTGTAGCCAATCTTCAAGCATGACCATGCTTCCCCATAACTTGGTGTCATCTGTGAACTTGGCCAGTAAGCTCTTCACCCCTACACCCGAATCACTGATATATCTGTAAGCTAATGAAATATTCTTAGAGGTGGGTTTATTTTTTCACATGGAATTATTTATCATGGAACAATTCTGAGCCATTGAAATCAAAATGGCCCACTAGAAAGTGTTAATTTTAATAATAGTTTGTTCTGAGAACTTTTAAAAAGTTTGGAGAACGGCAAAATTAATCATATAAATGAAAAAAGCAAAGGTGAAATGAGATGTTTTAATTTTATTCACACTGACTACCAATTAAAAAAAATGTTGCGGAAACTGACTTTTTTGTTCCATTTTAAAAATGAAGCAAGTTTTAAATTGTCAGAATTCCTTGTTTCTTGTACAGCCTTAGATATTCTCTTTCAGTGGAAACTATAGGGACGTATGTGTTTTTAGGCCAGGCATCTGAATCTTTTCTGCAATGGCAAGGTTTATAACACATGAAGCATTGAATCCCTGAGTATCATGAATTTGTCACAATATAAATTGTTTGGAAAATGCTGTTTTAAATTGCATTCTGACAGGTTGAGTTTATTTTTTTAAGAAGAGCACAGGTGTTTGAAAGCACAAATACATTTTTGGGAGAATACTGCATGAAATATGAATCAGATATGATTTTTATCACAAATCTGGCACAGTAATGTTATAGGAGCTGTACTGTACTTGCTTTCAAAACCTGTTGAATAATTTAGCCTGAGCAAGGAGAAAAATAAACCAGCCTCTTTAGGAATTTGAATCAACTATTAAGAAAGGAAAAAGGCTTCTAATGGGGGATGCTAACTGAGCCTTTTTAGCAGGGATCTGGCCTGAGCACATGCCATTTAGAGTGAATTCCTTAAAACAGTCTCCAAATGAGTTCTGTGACCTCATGAAGTGTAAAGTTTCAATATACTTGTGGTGGGGAAGAAGAATGGTAGCCTAACATTGGGAAGCAATCACCAAGCAATCCAGCAAGGAATTATTGAGTTATTACCAAATACATTTCTACAAGCCACAGAGTTCTGTGATGCTCTTTGAAATTCCCAGTCTCACAAGTGAACTCTGTATTTAACTGGTCATTTCCAGTTAACAAATATATATGAAGTTGAAGAACATTTAAAGAGATGTCAGTCTATCAAACTAAATTACTATGCCATACTACAGTTGAAATTCAGTATTAGTCAAAGGGTTTCAAAGACAGTTGCTTCATTTCAAGTGGATAAAGTAAAAAACTGGGAATCAGAAATATTAGGATCTACTCCTAAACTGCTGTTGACTCACTCGGTAACCCTAAATTTACCATCTTGCAATAACGAAGATAACATTCTATGGTGAGACTTAATTAATTCATTAATCTAGTGCTCATCAAGCACTAGACTTGTCATGAAATCACAAAGGATGAGATTCAGGAGTTCTGGGTTCAGTTCCTTATTCTACCACATACTTTGGGCAAGTCATTCAACCTCTCCCAGACTTACTTTTCCATCTACAAAATGGGAATAATACTTTCATATCCCACCAGGGTATTGTGGTAAGGAATCCATTTATGTTGCAACCGTACACTGAAAGGATGCGGGAAATCAAAGTAGACAGAGATATTTAGATATAATATCAGTGTACGCTCATTATTATTGTTCTTCAGTGCTTTTATACCTTGTACAGTTCTGTACTATAAGTACAGCCATATTGAATTGGACACATATGTGCTGACAGGTTCCACAGTGAGTTCAGATTTAAGAGTGTTAAATTCCAACTTTGGACACAGACAGAGCACTTTTTTCAAGCTAGACCTATGTACACACCTGTCTGATGGTCGACGGTGGGATAATAATCTTCAGTTGTCCCAAACAATTCTGTCCAAGACATCAGGGGTTCACAGCCCATTGTGTTTGGCAGAAAAATGCTGTGCGTTACGGAGTCCAACATTGCCCTAAAATATTAATCACATTAGTCAGAGCAGGAGATGATATCAAGGATCCAAGTTCTAAAGCCTCCGGCCCACTTTCTCTAATGAGGAATGGTGCATGCCTTGGGTCTTCAATGGAATTCTATGTGTACATAAACATTTCTGTAAGTAAATGGCTGATCTGTTGGAAATTGTTGGCATCAGTGAAGGGAATAATAAGTGCATCAAAATGTTACCATCTGAAAAGGACCTATTAGCACATTTATGAATAAAGTTGAGGTGGGTAATAGGAAATTATCCAACAGATTGCCTCAAGGGACCAATGGAACCTTTCATAGGCACGTAAAAGGGTGGGGAAGAACAGACCTAGAGTAAGGTCCACAGGCATATATGGTCAATGTTTATTGTTTGCTGAACAAGCCCTTGTGCAAACAAATGGGAAACATGGTTCTGTCCCCAAGGATGCAAGTGTAGACATCAGACAGTTCAGGGTTTGTGGGGAAAGTGAAATGTTTGAAAATCAGTAACAAATTGAGGACACTCTCTCTCTTGTTGCTTCTAAAGGACAGTCAAAGCTTGGAGTTCCAGGAGAACCTTGCTAAATTAAACCAACAGCAGCAACTACATTACACCTTTATCCAAGCAAGTTGTGGAGTTGCTGAAAAAAACCCTACAATTCTACCATGAAACACTAAAGGAAAAGAAGAAGAATTAAAAGGTCTGGCAGGAAGGAACTTGGGTAATATACAATTATAATATCACTGTAAAGGTTAACATTTAGTATAATGCCAAAATAGCTGTGTGTGGTGGAGAGGGATCCATATCCATACCATTTATATTGCAATAGTGGCTATGCACTCCATTTGACTTAGGTCAAAGGTGAACCATCTTTTCAGTTGGTGTGTGAGGGAGGGCAGCATGAGAGTAAGGCATTGACAGTTATGGTTATTAGTAGTGATGGTGCTCTGAGGATTTGCCTACCTACTGCACTTTGTAAAATTTGTAATA